CTCTGGTATTCCGTGCTTTCAGCCAAGATCCATCTAACATCAGCTACAATATCCCTAGTACCACGACCCGACCCCTTCTAAGCCCAGCCTGGACTTCTGGCAGTTCTCTGTTGATGTGCTGTTCCAGTCGTTTTTGGATTATATGAAACTCAATAAAAATATTTTTTAAATAAACAAAGTATATATGAATAATTGTATCAACACCATGTACATAGGGAAAATTAATGCATATAAATGACTATATAAAAATAATAAAAAATGTTCCCCCCCCAAAAAATCAATTTAACTTATATAAATCATAAAAGTCTGAAATATTTCTATACATATTATACTGTCTATATATTGCACAAGCTATATATTTTTCCCAAGGGCATATATTAAATACATTAGTGTATTTAGAATAAAACAGAACTTAATTAGAAACGATGGGAATAAAAATTAAGAAGTGAAAAGCCTTTCATAATGTATATGGAAAGTATGCCATGAACTGAAGCATGCAAAAAACTGAATTTGAGGGGAGCTCTGGTGGCCTAGTGTCAAGAAGCTGCACTGCAATCCCAGAGATATGTGGTTCGAATCCACCAGATGCTCTGCCAGAGAAGTAGGGGCCATTTCCTCCTGTACCAGTAAGATACAATTTGACTTTGACGGTATACACACACAGAAAATAATAAAATAAAAATTAAAAGAAAAAACAAAACGAAACTGAATTTGCCATATTCAAAGTTAATTTAAATAAAACAAACTAAAACATATATGTCTGTAAATAAAACATAAAAAAAAAAAAACCAAAAACTCATGGGGGAAAATGTTAATAGGTTTTAATTGGTCTTTATTCTTAATAATCACAGAAAATTCTAAGAAGTAAATTACTTGATTTCTTATAATCTTAAACAAATGCAGGAAATTACAACTAAAAAAACAAGGGAGAGAATAAAATAAATGGTCTTACAAGTAGACAATGTAATAAAAGAAGAAACAATTTTAACAAGGGAAAAAAGAAAATAAATGGGAAGTGGGAGGTAGACAAAAAAGGAAAAGTAGAAGGTGAGAAAAAATTAGAACTTGCTAAGATTTTAAAAAGCTTAGAAGCCTGGGACATTTACGATAATGACAAAAAGCTAAATAAACTTTAATGACTGCTAAGAGTATCACTTGTTTAATGAAACAGAAAAGTACTTGATTTTCTAAGAAACGGCTAAATTCCTTTTTTAACAACCACAATGATAGAACTGCTATACAAATATTCTTATCCTTTTAAAAGAGGTGGTCCACTTTACACAATTGACTTCAATGAAACCACATTTAGATATCCAACAACTTTTCATCTCCAGGTAACACACCCTATTTTTCAGTACATTCAGATGCTTTATATATCTGGATGATTTTTTGGAAATTTTCAATGCTACATGGTTTATTTGGGCCCTGTGAAAACAGGCACAGATACTACCATCAAATCTCTAATCTTTTCTTGAAAAAAATATCAGTTAAATATTACAAGGTTATATGGCTTTTTAATTGAGTCTTAATGCACAGAAAACAGAAATGATGCTCTTAACAGCTTTTACAACAAAAATTCCTTTGCTTACGGCATATGGTAATTCATACCTGTAATTTCTTTGTATATCGGTTGAACATTAGTGCAACACATTCATTCATAGCACCTGTTCGTTGAAGAAGTAGTAGTCCTTTGGGGGTGGCAGCAAAATTTAGTAAATCAGCTAACAAATTCTCTTCCCAAGCCATACTGTAACAGCAGATAAAAGAATTTTCTGTAGTATACACAAAATCGAAAAGGGGGGGAATACTTACACACACACACACACACACACACACACACACAGAGTTATTTACGTAATTTATGTGCCAAAATCTAATTAAACTATACTCTCAGACATTTTGGAAAAAACACAAATAGAAATAAATTTGATGACAGTTCAAAATGTTTTACTTCCAATAATCTTTCCAGGTAGTATTTCCAATTTTAACATTTGGTTATACTCCAAATGTTCTAGAAACATTACAAGATGTTGAATTTCCTAATCCAATATAGAATTAAACGTAGAATAAACACTGTATAAAAACATTACAAGAATTTTAAGGTTATAAGGAAACTCTGGTGGCCTAGTGGCAAAAAGCTACACTGCAATCCCAGAGGTATGTGGTTCAAATTCACCAGATGTTCTGCTGGAGAAGGAGGGACAATCTCCTCCTGTACCAGTCAGATCCGATTTGATGGTACACACACACACACACACACACACACACACACACACCACACAAGAATTTTAAGGTCATAAAGAATGTATTGTATTGTTGCTAAGGTTTTTCCTAGTTGTTTATGTATACATTTGATCCTATATGCATACATATACCTGCCTGCAAAATGTTTTTGTTACAGTATTCCATTACACTTCATTTTAAACTTATCACAAATACTTTAACTAAAGTACTATAAGCATGAATAACTATACTTACATGTTTTGAGATTGCTGGCTTAATGCATCAACAGAATCAGAACCTTCTACTGGGGTAGGAGTTCTTTCTGATAACAAACTTGTCTAAAAAATAGCAAATTTATTTACATTATTTTTGGTCTTATTAACACTAACAGTATTACTCAAAAGGTCTCTTCAATTCCAATTTTATTGCTAAATTTAATGTAAAATTTGAATTGTCTTTAAATTTAAAATACCTCATTAATTAAATTTTAAAAGTACTTAATAAATCATATAATATGGAAAAATGTAATGCTAATAATCTGTCATACTATTGTTGTATTAAGATCTTAAGCATCTACAACAAAAACTTTTAAATTCTGGTTGTCTCTAAAAATTTCTTAGAAATAACCTCCAACATGGAATGTTATTCCATAAAACGGTCCTTTCTTTAAACTCTTTCTACGAGAAGAAAAGAGTCTGCAACTCCAGCTTATACAGTCCCTGTTAGGAGAGTTTGATGTGTTTCAGTCAGCACCTGGCCTGGTTTTGATTGCTGACACTGAGCTTCTCTAACTCTCCACCAGGTGGATTGCCATGGTGACTGCAGCGATGGACCCAAGTACATTAGCGTTAATGAGGATGGAGCAGAATAAGACAGGGTTTAGCCCTGTTGCTCATAGGATCCCTATGAGTTATATTTCGACAGTGTCAAAAAAACAACAAACAGGAGAGGAGAACCTGAAACCATTTATGTCAGATTAAAAAAACATTCAGGATGTCATTCAAATTTCCAAATACTATGGCCCTTAACAACACTTTGAGCCTACAACTGAACTCATCTCTAGGCACAACTTAAGAGTCAAACAGGAGATCTAAAAGGTAGACACTAACACCAGGGAGGTACTAAGTCCTTACAACAATCAACCACACAGGATCACCACAGCAGCACTTTTCCAGGTAAATAGCTCAGAGGGAAAGAGAAGAAAGAATGAATAGAAATATTGAGATTCATACTGATGTCACATGTCTTGGAGAGGGTGCAGCCAGAGTGCACTTTGGAGGCAAGAATGGTGAGGCTTTGCCTCTCATACTTTGGGTGTGTTGCTTAGCAGGGACTATTCCTTGGAGAAGGACATGCTGCTGGGAAGGGGGGGATTGGCGAAAGAGAAAAGACCCTCATCTAGATGGACTGACACGGTGACTGCTGCAATGGACTTTTGTGTGTCAGGAACTGTTAGGATGGTGCAGGATAGAACAGGTTTCATGTTTTGTTCATAGAGTTGCTATGAGTCAGTTCAACTCAACAGCACCTACCAACAACAATAACAAAACACATCTGAATGGTTGAATGGAACATCAGTAACTCTGTAAACTTTCACTCTAGTCAACATAGAAAGCAAACAAAAGAAAAAAGCCTTCTAGTTCTTTGGGTCTTATGATGCTAAACAAGTCATATTTCCATGGCAAAATATTTTACTCAAAAATAAAAGTAGTTGTTGTTGTTGTTGTTGTTGTTATTCTTGTTACGCACCACTGACTCAGAACCCTAAAGAAGGCTTTCAGAGGCAGTAAATTACACAGGAAGAAATTTCCCATCTTTCCCCCTGGACTAGCTAGTTGCTTCGAACTGCGTGCCTTTGGGATTGCATTGAAGTTTCTTACCACCACAGAGGAAATAAAGATTTTTAACAAGGTGAAAAAAAACAAGTTTGAAGAGACTTACTTTCTTCCATGCTTTTGCGATGGATTCATGTAAACTATAAGGAATTAACACTTGCAGTCCTTCACATGTACCATAGATTTGACGGCACACAGAAATAAAAGCTCCTGTAACTGCAGGCCACATCTCTGATCCACAAAACATAGGAATGTCTTCATCAAGAAGTTTCTTTGTGAATTGGGCTATTATGTGAGCACCTGCAGGACTAACAGATGATATAAAAAAGTGATTCCAAATTCATATAGTTTCAACTTGACAGATCATCACCAAAAAGCTAGCCTTGTCACAAAACCTCCTCATTTAGTGGATCCCTGTCAGTTCTCTATCATCCTTTCTCACATATCGATATCCTGTTCCTACCAACAAATGTCTAAAAAAAATCAGTTTCAGTAGACAAGAGGAAAATAGAGTATAGATGCAAAGTAAAACAGTATAGAATATTTTTAAAGCAACATTACTACACACTTATAAGACTACAGACTTTATAAGAGTGGGCCATAGCTAAATATTCTTGATTCTACAGTAAAAATACAAACCTGCTCTCCACTCCTAGCACTTGTTAACATCACTCCATTAGTTTAACTAGATTCAATTTTCTTATTTCAAAAAAATGGTTAAATTTAAGTAACTGACAATCATAACATATAATCTTGCAAATGCTTACAATGTCAGACAATGCTCTAAGAATTTTAAATGCACTATTTTATTTAGTACATACAACACTATAAGATACATCATCAATCAATTTCTCTAAATTAAGGTGTACAATCATTTGTCATAGATCTTTAAATCTCTTTGTTTTCCTCAGGACATATGCTGAAAAAACAATTATTGTTGATTTTTATTTTTTTTAATTTGGCTAATTGCTTTACCATGGTGTAGTGTAGCTGGTTACTCTGTTGTTCTGTACCCTAGAGTCAGAACTGATCCACAGCTGACCCTAAGGTAAGTTTTCAGAGGTAATTAATTGCACAGGAGGAGACTGTCCATCTTTCTCCCAGGAACAGTTGGTAGACTTGAACTATGTGCCATCAGGATTGCAGTGCAGCTTCTTGTCACTGGGCCACCAGAGCTACCTCAGTTACTTTTCTGTTGTTAAGTGCTGTAAAGTTGCAGACGACTCACAGCAACCCTATGAATAAAGAACCTGAACACTTGTATAACTTTCTTCAGTTACTTTAGTCCTTTACATTTTCAATAAATAATTAGTCCTCAGATTTAGGTTAAATTTATTTTATTTCTCAATCTCTCTTTTTATTCAAAAAGTACCATTTTATGTACTTTCTACTGTGTGCAGTTATTCCACATGGAAAAAAAAAAACACGAACAACCCACAAACCACCAACAAACAAGAAACTACTGGGTTATATATCACTTAAGAGATGTTTTCACATTGTTCATCCATTAAGTGGCTGGTAGATTCTGGATGCTGGAGCTGCAGAATCCATCATTACTTTGGCATTGACTATAATTCTTTTGTTGTGTGGTGGTGAGGTATAATAGAGTTGACTATGACTCATATTCAAGCTTTGCATACTAGATCAAAACCTTGATGTATGCTGTACCACCCTGAAAATCTCCACCATGATCAAACAGCCTGTTGCAGTCATTCTGTGATTCCCTACATTTCTCAGTATGTCATCTTTTTCTTTGGACTGGGCCCTCTTGAGAACATATGCCAAGTATCTGAGATGAACTTGCACCATTATTGCTCATAAAGAACACCGTGCCTACATTTTCTCCAAAACAGGTGTATTTGTTCTTTAGGCTGTCCATTACACGTTCAATACTCTTCCACAATGTCATAACTCAAGGGTATAAATTCTTATTCAGTCTTTCCTATTAACTGCCCAACTTGTAAATGCATAAGATACTGAAAATATTGTGGCATGGAGTCAGGTGCACCTGAGTCTTCAAAGTGACATCCTTGCTTACTAGCATGTCAAAGAGGACCTACACAGCATATTTGCCAAATGAAATATATCTTCTGACATATCTGTCAACGAATTGACTCAGAACATGCTTGAATTATTTTTCAAATCAATGTATAAAATGAGTTGGTGCCCAAATATCCTCAACAGATAACTGATTTGTCAATTTTTTAGGAATATAAGTTTATAAATCATATTGTATTTCCTTAAATTATTCATACACATTTGGTTTTATAACATTAGTTACAACTGATTAATATCATTAAGTACATCTTATCAAACCCTTAATGTATATTGCCTTTCCCTTCACCAAAATTATCTATTAATTTATGCTTCCCTATTCATCCCTTCTCATCCCTGTTAACTCACCAAAATTGAGTCTGTTGATGTGTGTAAACTTTTTTGTTGTATTTTAATTTAGTCGCTTAAGATGCAAAATAGAGCATTTCAAAGGGCAACACAGGAAAACAAAGCAAAGTATTATAATTAAATGTGCAGGCAGCTGGAGTTGGAAAATTAAAAGGGCCCAACTCGGCATTTATTAGACTAAAGGAACAAAAGAACAAATACAAGCCATGAGTTGCAATACTTAAGGATGTTATGGGCAGAATACTGAATGATTCAGGAAGTATTACAAGATGATGGAAGGAATATAGAGTCACTGTATCAAAAGTAATTGCCTGACACAGAAGAATTTCAAGAAACAACATATGCTCAAGAGGGAATGGTGATGAAGGAGGAAGTCAGGCTGTTCTGAAGGACTAGGCAAAAAATAAAGCCCCAGGAAGTGACAGGGTACCAAGTGATATATTTCAACAAACATGAGCTGTCCTGGATGTGCTCAACATGTTGTGCCAAGAAATCTGGAGATTAACTACCTGGCCAACTAACTGGAAAAGATCCTATTTATTGCCATGCCAAAAACAGGTGACCTGACAGAGTGTGGAAATTATTGGACAATATCACTAATTAGTACATGAAAGCAAAATCCTGATGAATATTATACAAAAACGGCTGGAACAGTACACTAACAGAGAACTACCAGAAATATAAACTGGGTTTAAAAGAGTTTGTGGCCTTGGAGACATTAACACCAATGTCAGATGGATCTTGGCTGAAAGCAGAGAGTACCAGAGGTATGTCTATCTGTGTTTCATTGACTGACTATACAAAGGAATTTGACTGTGTGGATCACAACAAATTGTGGCTAACCTTGAAGAGAATGGGAATCTCAGAACATTTGACTGTCCTCATGTAAAACCTATACATTGGAACAGGAAGCAGTCCCTAGAAGAGAGCAAGGATGTGCTGCATGGTTCAAAATTAGGAAATAAAGCCATCAGGGATGAGTCTTGTTTCCACATCTTTTCTGTCATTCTGGAGGCTGCTAGGCTTTATGAGAAGGAATGTGGCATCAGGATTGGAGAAAGACTTATCCACAACCTGCAGTATGCAAAAGAAACAACCTTGATTGCTAAAGCTGAGGAGGATCTGAAGGGCCTGCTGCAGAAGGTCAAGGACAGTACTTTTCAATATGGATTAAAGTTCAACCTCAAGAAGACAAAAATTCTCACCACTGGGCCAACGGGCAGCACCAAAATAGAGAAGAGATTGAGGTTGTTAACAATTACAGCTTGCTTGACTCCACAGTCAACACTCTTGGCGCCAGTGATTAGGAAATCAAAAGACAAATTACACTGGGAAAATCTGCTGTCAGGGACCTCTCCAGAGTACTGAAAAGCAATGATGTCAGTCTAGAGACTAAGGTATGCCTCAACATTGCCATCATGGTCTTCACAATTACTTGCTGTGCATCAGACAGCTGGACAATGACTAAGGATGACAGAAGAAGAATCGAAGACTTTGAGTTGTGGTGCTGGAGAAGAGTCTTGAACACACCATGGACTGCCAAGAAAACAAACAGGTCTGTCTTGGGGAGTGTGAAACAAAGTTTCTCCTATGAGGCTAGGATTTTGAAACTCCATCTAACATATTTTGGGCACATGGCCAGGAGAAGGACACCCACAGGAGAGGAAGATCTTGTATGAGATGGATTGATAAAGTAACTGGGGCAATGAATTTAGGTGTGTTGAAGGAAGTGAGACTGGCTCAGGACAGCACAGGCTTCAGAGCTATTGTACTATGAGTCACAGGTGACACAACAGCATATAGCAACAATATAGCCAAACTGTCCTTTTCTGATGGCTTACACCATTCAGCATAATTTTTCAAGACTAATGCTGTGTAGTGTTTCACAAGTTCTCAGTAATTTGTTAGTGATGCATAATACTCTATTGTGTGTAAGTACATTTGTTTAACCTTTAATTCATTAATGAATACGTGTGTTGTTCAACTATTCAAATAATACTGCATTAAACATAGGTGTGCCCTATTGTGCCTTGGGACACAATCTAGGGGAAAGGAAGGGATGTGTGTGATCCCTCCCAACAATCTACAGCCCAGAGCTCAAAACTGCAGGGAGGGGTAACCCCAAGAGGGTCTTTAAACTTACATGCCAAAACATATTACGTACACGGACAGGGTGGTTGGTGAATTCAAGACAGAAACCCCAGATGCAGGCAGCCAAGAGAACATGACCAACCACACTGCTGCTCATCTGTGACCTGGAGATGACCACTACGGAGCCACTACTGCACACTGATGGTGATCAAGGATCTTATCCATCCTCATGCTCAGGGCAAGTGATAGGAAGAGGTAGACGGTGGAGAACTTCACTTCCTAAGACTCACAACTATCCTGTCTACCCAGCACCACCACAGGGCCATTTAAAGAAGGAGCATATCCTCTAGAAACAATGAGGATAAAGGAGGAAGCTAAAGCTGCACTGACGGCATAAGCAACGATAAGGATCCGAAAAATGATGGAATATCAATTGAAGTGTTTAAATAAATATATATATTTTTGACATAAATATATGTCAAAAAATTTAGAACACCCCTATCTGCCCAACTCACTGGAAGAAGACCATATCATGTTCCAATCCTTAAAAAGGTGACCTAACAGAATGTGGAAATTATCAAACAGTATTACTAATATCACATGCAAGAAAATCTTGCAAAAGATTATCCAAAAATATTAGATATAGTACACTGACAGACAATGGCCAGAAATACAAACTAAATGTAGAAGAGGCCATGATTCTAGGGATATCATTGTTGATGCAGATGCATTTTGGCAAAAAGCAGAGAATTCTAGAAGGTCATCTAGTTGGATATTCAAAAGCATTTGACTGTGTGGATCATAAACTTTAACT